TTTCTCCACCCCACTCATGATTTTATAGACCTCTGTCACATCCCCCCTCAGTCTCCTCTTTTCTAAACTGAAAACTCCCAGTCTCTTTAGCCTCTCCTCATATGGGACCTGTTCCAAACTCCTCCTCATTTTTGTTGCCCTTTTCTCAACATTTTCCAATGCCAATATGTCTTTTCTTTTAGATGAGGCGACTGCATCTCTATGCAGTATTCAAGATGTGAGCCTTTTTTAATGATGCCTAACATCCTGTTTGCTTTTTTGACTGCCGCTGCACACTGCGTGGATGTCTTCAGAGAACTATCCACAATGACTCCAAGATATTTCTCTTGAGTAGTTGTAGCTAAATTAGCCCCCATCACATTGTACGTATAGTTGGGGTTATTTTTCCCAATGTGCTTTACTTTACACTTATCCACATTCAACTTCATTTGCTATTTTGTTGCCCAGTCACTTAGTTTGGCGAGATCTTTTTCCAGCTCTTCACAGTCTGCTTTGGTCTTAACTATCTTGAGCAGTTTATCTGCAAATTTTGCCACCTCACTGCTTGCCCCTTTCTCCAGATTGTTTAGATTGGGATTGATAACTTGATAATGTGTGTGGCAGGTTTTAGGGCAAGTTTTTATTTAACAAACTGTAATTTCTAAAGAAAGCATAGTACTAATGGCTCTGTAATCGAGCCTGGGCTGTATTTCTGTATCTGCAACTGGTTTCTCTGTCTGCGCCTTGTCTGTGCTCCAAAGCCAATTAGTCTTTGTTGGGAAGAGACATTTTTGTTTTTTAGTTGCCTTAAATAGTGCAAATAGCAATGCTATATCATTGCAAATTAGTTATCTAATGTCACTACTATGCATTTAATCCACAAACTGCACTTCATGAAATAAAGTCTGCTGATTTAAAATGCTCATGCTCAGAGGGGGGTATACTGGTGTGGAAGCTGGCCGATTTGTGCGGGGTCCTGTTATTTTCTAGAACCTGGACTCTCCATTACTACATGACAGAACTGCTGCTTTAATGTCTCTTTTTTAGAAGTTTCTACATGCCTTTGGGTCTCTCTCTCCTCCCTTTTTAGACACACTATTGGAAATATGCCTGCCAGAGCTAGGTTCTGGTACCGCCCACGATGGATAGCCCTTTAGATCAGCAATCGACTCAGGACAGGGTGAAGGCCCCTTTCCGTGTCCCGTTCTTTCCTCGCTGTGGTTCATGTTTAGCTAGAACGGCAGCAACCCTCAGACCCTTTTCCGCCGTATCAGAGGCGACAGGAGCTCTCCTGGGAGACGTGTAGTGAATGAAACCATGTCGTGAGCAGCACTGGCCGGGGTGGGCTAGCTACACTGCTTGCTACCTCTTGTTGGGAGAAGCAATCACGGGGAAGGCTCCAGCGTGCAACATTCTGCCTTTGCAGACTGGCCGTCTCGTGGCTTTGCAGCATCTGTAGCCACTTCATTAGGAGAGTAGCTCCGTCCCCAGACGCAAAGGCTCTGGTGTTCAGTTCCTAAGAGGCGCTAGGTCTCAGAAGTCACTTCCTACCCGCCAGGTCACATTGTGTGAAGTTCATCAGCACGTCGCCCTGGGGATGGCTAGTTAACTAGGGAGTCAGGCCCAGCATTCCCAGCCAAAGCTGAACCCCCAAACGCCATAATCGGTGTTTGGAAGTGCAAGCTCCTCGCAAGTGAAAAGCACAACCGTTTCCTTGCTTCATTCGCTGTCTTGCTGCTCCACACCTTCGAATGCCAGCCCCTCCTGGGGGAGGGAAGGGCCTGGGACCGTGTCG